GTCTTCGGCTTCTCCGATGCGCTTGTTTGATGCAGATTTCTTTGTACCTACCCATCATTCATGTCTAGCACATGATGCTATAGCCCTTGAAGTATGACACGCCAATCTGCTGAATTTGAGCTCCATAAAAGTCCTTGTGAGAGATCGAAAATTATTTAGAAAGGGCGTGTCCTTTTATAATTTCTTCTGTTTCAACTCTTTCTTCATTGGTTAGGCGTCTTGAATATTAAGAATAACTGCTCCGATTTATTGGACGTTAGCTGTGCTCAGAAAGCTGTGAGATGATAAAAGATATACCATGTCGAACGCTCGGAGAACCAGAAGGCAGAGGAAATAAAGAGGGAAGAGGAAGGGATTCTGGACCCCCTACACAAAATTTTTCATATAATAATTTTTCAGGGTACACTAAAATGTTTGCAAGTGTTCATAGCAATCACCAATTGCCAAAGGTAGTCTGCACCCCCCCCCCCCCCCAAAAGATCCTTGGTAGCCCTGTGCCGAACGTTTACACACACACACACACACACACACTCACACACACACACACATGTGTGTGTGTGTGTTAGTGTGTGTGTGTTTACTGTGTACACATACAAGCTAAAATTTTCAAAACAAAATGCACCACTGCCTGCCTACACTTTTGCACTTAATAAGAACTACACCTATAATACTAAACATCCTCATAAATTTGCTGGCTTGCCATGGCGTTACGCCAGTAGAATATTTGGAAAGCAGCACAATTTAAGCTGTCGATAAAAAATGAGAACTGGTTTCAGTGAATTTATGCAAATTAACAAATGGGCAATATATATACAACTGACACTTTTTAATATATTTAAGATAACCCCTTTTGCATAGAGTTCTTGACTAGGAGGTACAGGCATTTCTTCAGCTCGGCTCCCTGGCTCGGCCTCCTAGAGCTTGCATAAATGAAGCAATGTGAGTGCGAAAGCATGCGGTTAGAACAAGAAAGCATTTCAGAAAGCATTATTATCTTCCGCAAAACTGCCATGATATAACTGAGTCGTCACCGATATAAATGTTGTGACAACGTTACTTATACTCGGGTTTCTCATAAGACAATCGAGCGCATGTGGACTTATATGAGAAACAGTACTCTTGATATAGAAACTGCCAATAAAACGGGCGCATGATTGAGTCGCGGTTTTGATACTTATCTCTTTGTAGTTCGCAAGTAGCCACTTATATTGTAGCGCAGCTCAACGCGCTGATTGAGTGAGAAGCTAGGCATATTCGTGCAAATACCGATTGCACATTTTTTTTGTCGGCAGGCTCATGAAACAGTGAATGTCTCGACGGAATTTCGGCATGCCTGCATATTCACTCGTGCACCATGGCGCTTAGCAGGTGTGCATACTCTGGTAAAGGTGCAGAAACACATTAAACACGCTAAAAAAGATCAAATACATGCTTTCGCAGGCTATGGCGCGCGTGCTCCCAATGCAGACGTTCTTGAGATCTTCAGTACCATGAGACTACAGCGTCGCCGCTACTGTCACCCGCCAGAGAATCAGCCGAGACACGGCGCGGGCGCCTCGTTCACTCCACTGCCCCCTTCTAGTACACTGTAGCTATGCCATGAAACCATATTTCCGCAAAAAAAAATCAGCACTGCCCCAAAGCCAGACTTCGATGTTAAATGCACATATCTGCAGCTCAAATATACATTTTTTAAAATTTTGTAAGCGTGCTAAGAGCAGCATGACGCTGCTATGCAACGAAACAATCTTTCTGCAGAAAGATCAGCACTGCCATGAAGCTTGTTCCCAAATGCACAGTTGATGATGCAATCGCACTCTTCGTAGCCGATGAAAGAGAGGATGTGAAAGCCATTGTCCATGAGCACGAGACACCAGGCACACTTGAAACATCTAATTCTTGCCCCGGTGGAGCAGGAGTCTCGTTGCTAGGCGCATCAATGGAACCACTCTCTTGCATAGATGAAGCAGAAGCTGCCCCACAGGTACCGTTCGCACGATAACCATCGGCGCACGTACAAGCGAAGAGCCTCGCCATGAGGACGAGCTCCATAGATTGTTTCCTTGCACCGAACACTTGTAGCGTCTTCGTTTTTGTTGGGCACAGCGTGAGCAAACGCAACAACGGTTTTGTAGAGATGGTTGAAAATAGTGTGATGAAGACGGTAGAAAATCGTTTCGTAAATTCGATTGTAACACGGAGTATGAGAACGGCTGCAACGATAAACGATAGGAAGCGGAACACAACAAGAATGCTGTTGATGGAGGTACAGCAGACGACGGGAGGCCGCATTATGTGCAAGAGCACTACGTAATTGCGCGCAGCAGCCAATGGCAGTTGTTGGATCCCTCTCCTCCTTAAGAAGCATGCGCATCGCCCAATACCAGTGGCGTGTCTCTGTCGCGGTAAACTTTAAAGCTTTCATGAGCCCTCCAATCATGAGTGGCTTGCTCCTTTCCTGAGTGAAGCCCCTGAAACTCCTGTGCTGCCACCGTCGCTGTAGGTGACAAGAAAAGAAAGTACAAGAATTCCCAAACAAAACAATACCGAAATGGTGGTGCTATGTCAAGTTGTCGAGAGACTGCAATCATGCCAAGTTGGGGTACTTTGAGCACTCACGTGCTGCTCAAGGGCTGCCGTGGCTTGTTGTAAACTTTATTTCAAATTGTTTCACGATGAATTAGGCGTTGACATTTACAGAAAAGGCAGTTTGTGACACATAGTGTCTCAAAATGTAATTTACCAAAAATTGACTTTTTGATTTTCATTGATTATTTTTTGTTTTCAAAGGCCTCATCCCTCTTAATGCTTTAGCAATTGTTGACGAGTAGAAGTATAGTCCTCTTGAGATTTTGTAACAAAATGTCTTATGATGACTATAATTATCAATCAATGAAAATCTGTGCCACACAAAACCAATGAAAATTATGCTCATAATACTTGTGCTTCTTAAGCTAGATGGCCACACTTTTCCATGTTGGTTTACTTGTGCCTTGGCTTTCACTTTATTGCCATTTTTTGTTGTGTATTGTGGCGAAGCCACAAATCAGTCATCTTTTTTTTACGTGATCAGAGAAGTAAGAAAACCTCATTAAATTTATAGAATATTATCGTTTTAAACAGAAAGAAAAGCTCTATAAATTGAGTGGGAAAATATTGTCAGGTAATTTTGGCACATAGTAAAATTGAAATTGAAACTAATTTCAACAAAAAGCAAGGAAGTCCAATTTGTGATGCCGGTCGCCAGACCGAATCACACACACGTACGCTAGCGGGTTTCACACTAGTCATGTGCGCCGTAATTACCATATTTATTTTCACAGAATGAATGCACTTTTTTTCTAAAAAAATCGGAGCAGAGCTGGGGGTGCATTTATTATACGGGGTAAATTTTATGAAAACTTTCCTGGTATGAGCGAGAAAATGTGTCAATGCAAAAAAAATTTAGGTCCCTAAGCTTCTTTAATTATGGCACTTCACTTATCTCCGGTGGTTGAAGGTGCTATCTTCTATTTCTGCGCTGCCCGAGCATGTTATGAAAGTGTATCGCGGTTATCTTTTCTCGCAATCGTTTAACCACAACAGTGGTATCTGCTGTGACCTCGAAAGGTGCCCAGAAGCGTGCGCTATACGACGCCACCACGCACTTTGCCAACTTCGTGGCAATTTCGCACGATCACCGCGCCGCCGCTGTTGACATTATAGCAAGCAACCAACATTGCAGCAAGCTACCATCAAAGCATCAAAACAAACCATGCATTACAAGACTAACCACAAAATACGGTGGCCACCTCGCTTGCAACCAAGCGAGAATCGGGGACCATGTTGCAGAAATAGTCAGGATTTCTTCTTGATGACAAACGACTTCTTTCTGGTTTTACAGAATCCTGCGACACAATGGCGACAAGCAGCCCTTCACAGCAGCCATAGGGACAACAAACCCTGTTGTCGTCGCTAGAAAATTGCATGCATGTGGTTGGGCTTTAAAATTTCGTATTTGCAGGAAGCGGCCGTCGGTTGGCACAGAAAGTTTCATCACCATCACTCGCTAGGTGCTTGTCAGTTGCGCTGTCTCTACACTCGCATCATTTATAAACCCCACTGTGGCGAATAGGTGTTTAAAAAAGACTGGGTACGTGCTGCGTACATATAGAAAAGAAAAGTATACGGCAGGCAGCAGCGAGCAAAGGGGGGGGAATGAGTAAGTCGAGGTGGCCGAGGGGGGTCAGCATATTAATACAAGAACAGAAGAGATCAAACGAACAAGGAGGCACCAGGTGTCGGTTAACTGGACTACAGCCGATGAATATAGGGGGATGCTTATTGCGCAAGGAAAAAAAAGTCAAAATTCTAACGACTGAAGTTGGGGGTGCATTATTATTCAAGTGAGATCATTACGAGAGTAAATACAATATTTCATTCGAAATATCGACGCCCCCCGGGCGCCGGAGCAGCAAACTAACTTATCATAATTTGCCATGCCAAAAATATTTCCTTTCGGAGGCAAATGGTGCGTAAATCACTAGTGAAGAAATAGCCGATATTGTCACGTTTCATTTCTCAAGTTTTGTTATCGCCCCAAAACACTACACAATTCTCAGCGCAAACCGTGCCTGCAGTTTTCGAGAAGCTTCCGGACTTTAGTAGATCATTTCGATAAGATCACACCCACTCTGCGAACTGTAAAGATTATTCTGGAACCTACGCCACCACCAGCGATAACTCTAGAACATTCGATGGCAAGAGTATAAATGCCGATGCACTTCGCCGCTTGTCAGTAGTTGATCGACGACGGACACTCTGTTCACTGTTATCTGTGAAAGACTGCTACTGTAATCGGACTTTTCGTTTGCTGGGCACAGGTTCGCCCAAATAAACAGCTCTCAACACAAAGTACCCTGTCTTCGGCCATGTCACGACCCCGTGACAATATATTTCTTTATCTTCCTAGTCATTTGTGAGCACCATGTACACAAATGAGTGAACAGCGGCTCTCTTACCTGTCCTTGGGAGTGGATGTGGCCGAACGTGTGCTCAGAAGTCGACCGAGCCAAGAAAGGACTGGAAGATGTCCGGACTGTGGCAGTCACGACCGAGTCACCTCCAACACTGCAGGCCCCTGCTCGCAGCGAACGATGCAAACGTAAAGGAAATGGTGTTAAACTTACAAGGTCTTAGTGAGACAAGTAGAATAATCAGCTCAAAAAAGAGTAATGACTAAGGGTGTACGAATATTCGAAAACCACATATTTAAAGGTTTCATATATGAAAAGTAGTTTAAATATTCGATCTTTTCGATTACTTGGTCGCATATGTTACAAAAAAACTTGATTTAGCACCTTAGACCGATTTTGCACCTTAGACCTCGAGCTGTGTGTGAAATTGACGGACGACGAAATAATTCGTCAAGTTACGGAGGATTCCGACGACCAAGCACCCAGGTCGAAGAGACAGCTCCTACACAGCCAATGAGCTTAAAGTTGACGCGAGCACTGATGACTGTCATTAGTGTACAACGGCAGTATGTTGGTAAGTGAAATTGAGGCAGACGGCAAGCGGAATGCCTTGCAGAAGTAAATCAGTGACTTATTTGAGCCAAAGTGCTTTTTGGGAGGGGGGAGGGGCAAAGTGTTTTCTTCTTCTTTTTTTTTATACAAACGACTCCTTTCAGAGCCACCTGAATGATGCATTCGCTGCAGGTATTTTTCACGGTCAGTGAAAAATACCTGCAGAAATGGTGAGTTTTTGGATGCATGCGTTTTTCCAGACTGCCCTACTTTCTGGACATTTTTGCAGTCCCTTGAGGGCCCGGGAAATCCACCGTGTACTGTACTGCCAAAGTTTTTACTTAGACGGACCAGCCCTGCTGCTTGTCATTCTGAGACACCTTGCCTCGGCTGTTCTCTACAAACTTTATGACCTTGAAACTGCTAGTCACCTTGGTATGTCACGCACTTACAACCCGATCTACCAACGCTTCTTTTGGCCAGCGCTCGCATGCTCAGTCAGAAGATGAGTTGCGGCTTTTGAGAAATATCAACGCCGCAAAACACCATTCACGCTTCCCGCCAAGCACATTCTACCATCTTTCACATTAGCTTAGACCTATTTGGTCCTTTTCTCATATGTCTCTCTGGCAACAGGTAGTCCGTGGCCACGGACTATGCCATGCACTATGCCATCACACGAGCCCTTCCAACAAGCTCTGCCCCAGATGTCGCCGACTTCCATCTACACGTCATAATTTTTGAAACATAGAGCTTCTACGCCAGCTGCTTAAAGACCGTGGCTGCACATTTCTATTAAAGGACCACTGACATCAAATTTCAAGATCGAGATGTGGCCATCATTCGATAGCTCGGTATGCATAGGTCTTCTTTGCCAAATTTAAACGGCACCTGTCGCCTGGAAGTTATATTAATTCTATGTCAAAGAGTGTAGAAAAGCTAAGGAGAAAAAACGGAAAATAGACTGCCCTGCGACATCGACACTAGTGCTACGTGTTCGGTGTAATACATTTCACAAATATCATCCTGAGTGATGATGCCCTTGTAACGATGATGCGTACAATCCGAGTGTTCTCATCGTGGCACCGACTGGCGCCGAAGTGCAGAAACGCACTCGCTTGTCCCCGGCCGGGCTAGCGCGCGCAGCTGCAGTTTAGCCTGGCCGTGGCTCGTCGCGTCTGATCTTCATCGCACCGGTTTGAATGATTACGTGAAATTATCAAGATAAAAACCACCTTTAAAAAAATATCGAAAGAAAAGAGCATGATTAAACGTGTGCTTGTCGGTCAGCATGTCGGGGAATCGTTGTGAGTTGCAGGTGAGTTGCAGTCGTCTAGTTCCAAGCACGGAAAAAAGCGCCATCGGGGTGTCTTTTCATATCACGTATGTGTTACACATCAGCACGACAGCAAGCTATCAAACGTGGAAGAGCGTGTAGTCAGATATCATCGCTAACAAGTAACACGTAGGTACCGTTTAAGTTTAGTTCATCTGTAGACTTTGTGTCTACGTAAAAGTGGTAATAACATGTTAACCGGGAGCAGCTGGATAGGTGGGGCCATCTGGAGGCCCAAAAAAGAACCCGACAAGCAGGAAACATATTCTGTTTCTCCGCTGATGCTCATTCGCAGTAGCTATATTGCATTGACCTCTCTGCATATACCGGAATGCTTTGCATGACAAAACACACCAATATAGCTAACTGAGACACACGAGCGAACATGGCTGAAGCGTGCATCCTCGGGCACCTCTACAGTGCTGCTTGGAACAGCGTCGATTTCAGAATCACTGTTCTCCAAAAGGTCGATTGAAGCAAAAATAATTCGCGACGTCGCGAATCGCGAGAATTCCAAGCTTCAGACTATCGTATTGAACCCGAGTCGACACTTTGTACGGCGACGACAGCAATGCAGGTGACAAGGCATGACTTAATGTGTCAGCCTAGCAGACGAAATGTTTGCGGAGCAGCTGAGCCTGACGTCACTCTTTTCATTTGAGAAGTGGTCAGCTGTGGCGTGATCTGGAGGTGGCCGCGAGGTAGAGCCACTGCTGGTGCTCCCAGCGCTAAAAAAGGCGGGATTAAAGTGATAGTTATCCATCCCTCAGTTGTGATTTAGGTCGTGAATCGCTGCTACGGGGTCTATAGCTGCTCACTGACGCAAAAATCTTGGCATGAGTAAATTTGATGCCAGTGCTCCTTTAAAGGTCGTAGCCGACAATTTGCAATCATGTGAAGAAAGGTACAAGCTCACTACGTCGTACTATCCGCAGACAAATCGACTCACAGAGCATTTAAACAGAACACTTCCAGGCATGTTTGCAAAGTATGTTTCTTCAAACCACTCCGACTGCGACCTTGCTTTGCTGTATGTGACATCTGTATACAATTCTTGGCACCATGACACTGCCAATCACTCTCCATTTTTTTTCAGTTTTTCAGATCAGAACAAACATTACCCTTAGATCCCATCTCCCACAGTACCGACCAGTGAATATACCCTTGACACTATCACCCGGGCTGCCTATGCGCATGAAACTGCCCATACTCGCCCTCTGACCTCTTAAGAAAGCCAACGGCGTTTGCATGATAACCAACACCACAATGTGCAATTATCATCCGTGGTTTCGGTCCTGCTGTGATCTCAGACCTGTCAAATAAGCTTGTCAAAAAACTGCTTTTTTATACACAGGTCCATACTGGATCCTTTATACGGTTACTCTTTTGACATACGAAATTGCTCCTGTTGCCTCGTCACCTTCGCCTGCCCTACAGGTCACCGTACATGTGGCACGTTTGAAGCCCTACCACTGTCCCGGTGACGTTGACATCTAGATGTGCCAAGATGACGCTGCTGCTGCCAATGTTACTAGATCCTGTCAGTTGTCAAACTATGCCTGGGAACAGCGCGATGTGGCCCTCTGCCGTGTCCTCTCGAGAGGTGGCGCTGCTGCCACCATCAGACCGCTTGGCTACAGAACCTTTGCAAGGTAGCAGCGTGCCGCTGACCGAATGCCGCTTCTCTTTTTCTCATTCTCCTACATCATGCTGCTCCCCATAGCACCAACTATTCAAAAAGTAGCCTTCTTACTTTGGGCACTTTGTAAAAGCAGCTAATGTGGGAATGAATAGTGTCGTATTGCGGCGTGGTCAGCCGCTATCACGGAAGAGAGGAACTCGTACACATGACTGCCGCCATGGGCTACCGACGACTGCCGGTGTTTATTGTACGGTGGACCTATATACACGACACACAGGTACATAGATCACAGCGCCATCTCTGGTGGCGTCGCAGAACCAATACGAATACACAACATATTCCCTCTCTTATATTTTTTTAGTTGATTAGTAATTGTTAGTACGTGTTAGTGGAGAGGCATTTCATCTATATACAATAAGCATGGAATATTTACACAACTGTACACTCGAAATGCCAAGAACTTTACACCAAAATATACACTCAATTGCAGCAAGCACACGCGTTCATGTCACAGGATCCACTCTAAACGTAATCCATAAATCTTCGAGGCGGTCGTCTTGTCCTTGCGAGTAGCTCCCGACGAGAAGGTGGTTGTGGAGAGGGTGGAGAAGAGACAGCCTGTTGTGTCTCTTGCGATGCTACACAAGGGCTGCACAGAACACTAGGCACTGCACTGAGGGGGGTACCGAGTAGCACTGCTGATTGCCCACTGTCACAAGGCACAGGTGACGGGCTTGAAGGCTGTGCTGGGTGAGCGTGAACATCTGGCGTTTGGATGACTGGGTGAGGCTGGGCGGCCTGTGCAGGAACCTTGCTCAACTTGGAGGAGTTCCATGTTCGCCCATCGTCTAGGCAGAAAGAGGCTGGCCCTCGTTGATCCACCACGTTCCGAGAACGACTGAACGAGAAGTCTCCTTTAAAAGAGACTGCCGGCTTCTTCACACGGACCATGTCTCCAACTGCTATGTTTGGTTTCTTGGCTGCACGGCAGAAGTCTGTGTACATCTTGCTGTATTATTGCTTCTGTGCGAATCTCTTCCGAAGCTGGCCAAGTTCTTTGGCAGGGTCTGTGAAGAATGATGGGGATGGGTGCCCAATGATGTCCAGTCGTGTTCAGGGCAGTCGTCCATGCAGGAGTAAGGCTGGTGCTACTCCCGTGGTTGCGTGAGGTGTGCACCGGTAAACACCCAAGTACCGTAAAAACCCGCGTATAGTTCGGACCCGCGTATAGTTCGAGGTGTAACTCGGGGATAGCAAACGCGAGAAAAAACATTTTCACGCGAATATTGTTCGAGGAAAACAGAAAAAAATGCATTTATTTGCACACTTGCATGCGCACGCACGCGCGCGCACGATTAGTCGTCGTTTTCGTCTGACACACTGTCTTCCGAATCTCCCTTGTTCGAAATGTCCTCCCACAGCTTCTGCAAGACCGACGTACGCCGACGTAGGGAGAACCCAGCGCGGCGCAGGAAGCGAGACACCCAATGGTTGCTTGCCTTGAAGTCCGCAGGTGGAATGCCTTTGTCTCGAGTGATCTCCCTTGCCTTTGCCTTCAGCACCTCGATGTGCACAGCGAGTTGTGCAGCTCGTTGCTCCCGAACAAAGTCCGTCAGTTCTCGTTCCACGTCTGG